GGGGGGGGGGGGGGGGCGGGCGTGATAGGGCAGTCGTGTGGGTATTCGAGGCAGACGATGATGCATGGGAAGATGAACGCATTTGGGTAGGACGGCAGGCATGGTACCGGTGGAGCTTTAAAGCCGCTGTCATGATGCGGGGGCGTGTTATGGGGGCGTCTTGCCTCAGAAGTGAATGAGACCTTTTTGTGTGGTTCAGGCTGTTTCAGTGACCGTTGTTGTCTTGTGCGGCGAGTTGTGGCTCGAGAAACTTGTGGATGTATGCTCAGTCGCCCGTCAAAATACGCAGGAAGACATCCAGAGAGTAACGCAGTTTCTCATTGATTTCGCATCGTCAACGCACGTTCGACTTGCGTCTGCATCTGCGTAGGCCACAGACGTATAGAGCAATCACGTACGGTCATCTTTGCACTGATTGATTTATCTTATTGCGTTCGCAGGATATCGATTAGAGAGCTCATCGGCATTCGTTGCCATTCATAAGGTGAAGATGAAGCCCACACAACCGTGCGCTGCAGATCTGGATGCGTGTGTGTGTGGTGTCTCTCAGCCTTATGGAGGATGATCAGCTGTCACTGTCTAGTGGCGATTTCGTTGACGGCTCGTCGGATCGTCACGAGTCAGATGATGATCTTGTGCCCGAGACGTCGAACGAACCTCACGAGCTTCAGACTGATGCGGCAGACCAAGATCCTGAAGATCGGGAACAGCCTGAGGAAGAGCAGCCGTCTCGAGAGCCAACAGGAGCGGCCGGCACCGGCAGATCACAGCGGTGTTGCCTGAATTGTAGGCGTCCTGGCCATTATTGCCGCACTTGTCCGCTGGTGTATCAGTTGTGCGAGGACCCGAGATGCCCGAAAGGTCGCCGCTGTCCTTTAGTTAGGCTGGTCGATCGAAGCCTGGGATGGCAAAAAGGACGTGCTCAAGCTGGTCGGCGAGCTGACGAACGCCTTTGAAAATATGGCAATGCTCACCAATGTCAAATGTCCTGCTAATGCTCACCAATGTCAAATGTCCTGCTTGCCAGGCTCCGCCAGACTTGAACATACAAAACACAAGCACACAAGACAGCAACTCGAGCCAGTCACTGCAGACACAAGCCTGCATCATGTGCACGTAAAGGGATATGCTGGTTGGCAACAGAGACACGTAGTGAAAAAGAGGCACGTTAAGCTTTCGTCTGCATCCATCAGACAAACACTCATGTGTGAGTCAGAACCAGGGAGGGGGGGGGGG